CGCCATACAACTTGGCAAGAAAGATCCAGATGCATATCCTTTTTGTGTGAAGTCACTGCTGTCAGTTTTGTTGTTGAAATAGTTTGTGTCTTGTTCATCCTTTGTGGTTGTTGATTACATGTGTGATTCTTGTTTACACATTTGGACACCTGTTAGTGCTACAGGGTTCATGAACACTGCAGAGATTCTCCTTGTCATGAAAAGATATCAAACTAAATGAAAAGTGGAACCAGTTATCTTCACATGATCACAAACAACAAGAGAAGGTTGTGGGTAGAGAAGCTTTCTCATGAAATTACATAAATTTACAATGTCACATAAACAAACAAGAACACACAGAATGGCTTAACTGAAGTATCTCCGAGAGAAACCACATGACTGTCTGGATAATCAAACCTCTGACATGTATGTGGCCACAGTAAATAAAGCCAGAAAAAATATATAAACGGCACGGCCCATAACTAACAAATATTAGATGAAATGCTGGATCAGTCGAACTCCCCTATACGTTAAGAGCCCTGCCTCACAATCCAAAGATCTTGGGTTCAAATCTGCATCATGGCAGATTGTTAAGTTAACCTAAGGCTCCAAGGTTGCCCTAAAACAAAAAGGGTACTCGGAAACGTCCTGAGCAGAAAAGGCAGCCAGCATGTTTTTGTCCACATTACCCATCGAACGTGTTTTAGTCTGTAAAATGTATTGGTCGAGCACCATAAGCCATATTTGCCAACATGACAATGGTTCTGCATTCGTTTTGACTGTTGATCCATAGTTTCAGATTCGTTCCTTGGCATAGGCTCCAGGGTCCTATGCGGTAGTGGGGTAAATAGACCCATTGATCCCCTGACAGGCAAGTTGTAAAAGGTGATAAATTGGGGACTTTCCCTCCAAAATCAGAGAATCTGCCTGAAGGTGAGGAATCAACAGTCTGCATACAAGCAAGCCAGATCTGTGAAGTGGATAAGCATGCAAAAATACAGTTTTAAAACAAGAATAAGGTCCAGAAGTGGATGAACAACCAGAACTTTCCACTGTAGTTTAAAACTGTTGAACGCTTAGAAAAAGAAGATTGCTTGGTTACATGCTTGGTTAGTAGTCTCTTTTGACAGTTAGATTTCTTACTGTCCTGTAGATTATTATACTATTAACATTCAGCACAGCCTTTGTGTGAACAATGTGCTGTTTCTAATGGTAACTTCAGACAGTCTGTAGATGTCATTATTTTAATTAAAGGGGAGCTTTGGGCTCTCATGCTTGAAACTTGGATTCTAATCACCAATATTATCATTGCAACACTATGATTCTAATCACCAATATTATCATTGAAACACTATGATTCTAATCACCAATATTATCATTGCAACACTATGATTCTAATCACCAATATTATCATTGAAACACTATGATTCTAATCACCAATATTATCATTGAAACACTATGATTCTAATCACCAATATTATCATTGAAACACTATGATTCTAATCACCAATATTATCATTGAAACACTATGATTCTAATCACCAATATTATCATTGAAACACTATGAAAATTAACTGCTTGCACATTCATGATAGGTTAGGATACTATTTTTAAAAAAAAATGATATGCTGAGCTACTGAAAGGAACATAATTTTGAGTTAAATAAATTATTCAAATTGCACACAAAAATAGTTTTTAGGCATACAGGCTTTCCCACAACTAATAAAAAAACAACCATAAAAGACAACAAATGTGATACCTCTTGTCGGATTCTAAAAAAAAATTTTTTGTGTGCGTCTCATTTAACTAGTTGACATGTTATTAAATGCATGATCCTTAACCCTAAAGTACAGAGGTGGAAAAGTTTGTGCAGGCGAACACCCAAGAACTGGCCAAGGATAAGTGGCTGTGTCCCTTGTCAGGGAAAAAATTTAAAGGGCCTGACTTTGTCCGCAAGCATATCTTCAATAAACAGCAGGAGAAGATCGAGGAAGTCAAGCAGGAGGTGGGACTTTTGTTGTGATTATTCTGGTGTTCTTCTTAAAGTCCATGTCTCGTGTACTTTTAGTCAACTCTGACACAGATGATTCTCCATGCCATGATGTCTGTGATTATCCTGTTTTTTTCTTAAAGTCCATGTCTCGTGTACTTTTAGTCAACTCTGACACAGATGATTCTCCATGCCATGATGTCTGTGATTATTCTGGTTTTCTTCTTAAAGTCTGTGTCTCGTGTACTTTCAGTCAACTCTAACACAGATGACTCTCCATTCCATGATGTCAAACTGTTCAGCATCTTTTCTGTTGGTCTCCCTCTGCCTATACTTCTCATCACATGGCCAAAGAATGTACATTGTCTCTTTGTGATGTAGGCAATCAGTTCTCTTTGTGAGTCAGTTTCTTTCAAGACATCCTCTATACTTTTTTTTTAAATTTTCATCTGTCTAGGGTATTCTTATCAGTCCAGTTTTTGGGGGGGGGGGGGGGGGGGGGGGGGGATTAAACTCACTGCCCCCACCCCCCAACGAGCATGTTATAAAAGTTGGCTAATTAGGTGTGTTTCCTTTGGAGTTGGAGCCCACCAACCGCCCTTAAATGGGCACAGTTCAGCTCAAATAATCTTTGATTCTCGATCTAATTTTTTTTTCTGATATACAAACCGGTAGCATCTCATTACCTTCAGCTATCTCTCGCATCAGCCTCGGGGTCCATGTTTCACAATGCACATAACAGCACGTCTTCACTGCAGCATTTTAATACTCTTTCCTGAGACAGTGACATCTTTTTATTAGTAATGATCTTTTTTTTCTGTTTTGCAACACTACTTTTGCCTTAGTGATGCTTGTTCTAATCTCTATATATAAGGCATCTTTTGTTAGGTGTTGTTATTAGACAGTTGCAGGATAATTGTACATGATTTCTATACATTAATGTTTTTGTGTGCTTGGCTTTTACATTGCAGCATTTTAAATTTACTAGACATTTTATGTTAGTCCAAGTCTTCTTCTTTTGTTCGATTAAAATAAATTTTAGTCTTTTGTAATTCACTTAATGGCCTGTAAAGTTTGGCTTCCACCAGTGTCTCTCTTGGTCAGACAATATGTTTGGAAATGTATTTGGGACAGTTAGGAGGATGTGATCTGTAGTCTCAGGTGCCAGTCCACATTGCTGATTTGACAATCTTAAATTTTGTGTTCAGGTGGCTGGGAAGTTGATTGTGCCCTGTGCAAAGGCATAGGATAATGACTTGTTCTGGTCTGTCCATAATATGTAGTCATCTTGTGCCAGTTTTGGTGGCTTTCTGGTTGATTTCAACATTTTCTTCTGTTGATAAAAGAGCTTGATTTCCTATGTTGCTCTAGTTTGTTGGAGTTTAACATTGAATGATAGTAACATTGATGTTTAAAATTATTTAGCAGTTTTTGATATCATCACAGTGGTAGCTGCATGACACAGTCTAACTGTTGAGTAATGAGACTTACTTTATTATGGCAGATTTGTTGGGGAGGCAGGGGGTTCATTCTTGTTTTCCCCCACAGTGGGGCTCCGGGACCTACACAAAAAAGTCTCATTATTGGCCTGTTGGACTGAGTACTTATGCTACTTTTAATTTCTGCATAGTTGTGCCCATTTGACAGTTCCGATCTGATGGCAGTTCTTCTGTGTGCAATTGCAGGTGAAGTTTTTTAATAACTACCTTCTGGATCCGAAACGTCCAACTCTGCCTGAACATCCCAGCAACAAACCCAAGCCGGCACCTCCACCTCCGCCTCAGCCACAGCCGGCTGCTCCCATGGCACAGCGTATTGATCCTTACAGCGGCTACATGGCTGCAGGAGGTTTGGCCACATATGGGGCAGTCAGACCTCCACTGTATGGGAGCGGAGCTGCCAGTGGTGAGTAGTCAGTTATTTGCTTGTATTTAGTTTTGCCTGTTTGACAGTTCCACCGTGATGACAATTCTCGCGTGCGCGCGCGTGTGTGTGTGTGCGCGCGCACACACATGTGGGGCTCCATGGCTTAGAGCAGGGCCATTCAGCTGGTGGCCCGCAAAGGCCTAGAAAGTGGCTCGCGGATCACTGTTAGTTGTATTGAGTTAATAATCTGTGTAGGCCTCTGGCCTGTGATGATTCACATTTACAATACCTTGGCCCTTGAGTAAACTTAGTGGAACAGCCATGGTTTAGAGGCTAGTGAACGAGGTTAACAGTTTCATGATCCATGAGTACTAAGGTCCTTCTGCATGGTTGGCAGTTTAAAAAAAATATTGTTTTTGTGGTTTTCAACTGTAGTACGAGAGTCGCACCATGGTAGAGATCGAGGCCTCACCATTTAATTCCAGAGACAGCAGTTGTAGACTGTAGCCAGCCTTCATTGCAAAGACGACACAGATGTTGATAGATTTATTTTGTTGCAGTTTTTTCCCCTCTGGGTTCTAGAAATCATAGACAAAATAAAGAGCATAACCATGGAAATGAGTATGTGTAGTTGATAAACTTTCAGCAAGTATGACACCCTTTGAGAGACAATAAACACTGCAGTACAAATAATGACAGTTACTTTTCAAGAGAGGGTGTGGTCACTAGATGCTCACTTGCAGATCAGTGGTCATGGATTTAAAAATGACCTCGGCTCCCAGGTTGACCCAGCCATGAGTGGGTACCATGTGTAGCCCTGGGAGCTAAAGGTGTCCACCGTGATGTTGAACTCAGCACTCAACTTATGGTAAATCGTCTATAAATATAGGTCTAGCCCTATATGCTCAATACGCCTGAAGGCATGAAGAAAGGGTCCTTTACTTTACCTTTCAAAATAGAGTTGATTTGCTTCCAGACACTTCACATCGAGTTTATCATGCTGCAAATCATATAATGTAACTGCTACTCTCAAGCAGGAGGTGGGAGTTGCTGACAGCGGTGTGACGTGCTGACAGTGGTGTGACGTGCTGACAGCGGTGTGAGGTGCTGACAGCGGTGTGAGGTGCTGACAGCGGTGTGAGGTGCTGACAGTGGTGTGAGGTGCTTACATTGGTGTGAGGTGCTGACATTGGTGTGAGGTGCTCACAGCGGTGTGAGGTGCTGACATTGTTGTGAGGTGCTGACAGTGGTGTGAGGTGCTGACAGTGGTGTGAGGTGCTGACATTGGTGTGAGGTGCTGATAGTGGTGCGAGTTGCTGACAGTGGTGTGAGTTGCTGACAGTGGTGTGAGGTGCTGACATTGGTGTGAGGTGCTGACAGCGGTCTGAGGTGCTGACATTGGTGTGAGGTGCTGACATTGGTGTGAGGTGCGGACATTGGTGTGAGGTGCTGACATTGGTGTGAGGTGCGGACATTGGTGTGAGGTGCGGACATTGGTGTGAGGTGCGGACATTGGTGTGAGGTGCGGACATTGGTGTGAGGTGCGGACATTGGTGTGAGGTGCTGACAGTGGTGTGAGGTGCTGACATTGGTGTGAGGTGCTGACAGTGGTGTGAGGTGCGGACATTGCTGTGAGGTGCTGACAGTGGTGTGAGGTGCTGACAGCGGTGTGAGGTGCTGACAGCGGGGGAGGTGCTGACAGTGGTGTGAGGTGCTGACAGTGGTGTGAGTTGCTGACAGTGGTGTGAGCTGCTGACAGTGGTGTGAGGTGCTGACATTGGTGTGAGGTGCTCACAGTGGTGTGAGGTGCTCACAGTGGTGTGAGTTGCTCACAGTGGTGTGAGGTGCTGACAGCGGTGTGAGGTGCTGACAGCGGTGTGAGGTGTTGACAGCGGTGTGAGGTGTTGACAGCGGTGTGAGGTGCTGACAGCGGTGTGAGGTGCTCACAGCGGTGTGAGGTGCTCACAGCGGTGTGAGGTGCTCACAGCGGTGTGAGGTGCTCACAGCGGTGTGAGGTGCTCACAGCGGTGTGAGTTGCTGACAGCGGTGTGAGGTGCTGACAGCGGTGTGAGGTGCTGACAGCAGTGTGAGGTGCTGACATTGGTGTGAGGTGCTGACAGTGGTGTGAGGTGCTGACAGTGGTGTGAGGTGCTGACAGCGGTGTGAGGTGTTGACAGCGGTGTGAGGTGCTGACAGCGGTGTGAGGTGCTGACAGCGGTGTGAGGTGCTCACAGCGGTGTGAGGTGCTCACAGCGGTGTGAGGTGCTCACAGCGGTGTGAGGTGCTCACAGCGGTGTGAGTTGCTCACAGCGGTGTGAGGTGCTGACAGCGGTGTGAGGTGCTGACAGCGGTGTGAGGTGCTGACAGCGGTGTGAGGTGCTGACAGCGGTGTGAGGTGCTGACATTGGTGTGAGGTGCTGACAGTGGTGTGAGGTGCTGACAGTGGTGTGAGGTGCTGACAGCGGTGTGAGGTGTTGACAGCGGTGTGAGGTGCTCACAGCGGTGTGAGGTGCTCACAGCGGTGTGAGGTGCTCACAGCGGTGTGAGGTGCTCACAGCGGTGTGACGTGCTCACAGCGGTGTGACGTGCTCACAGCGGTGTGACGTGCTCACAGCGGTGTGACGTGCTCACAGCGGTGTGACGTGCTCACAGCGGTGTGACGTGCTCACAGCGGTGTGAGGTGCTCACATTGGTGTGAGGTGCTCACATTGGTGTGAGGTGCTCACAGTGGTGTGAGGTGCTCACAGTGGTGTGAGGTGCTCACAGTGGTGTGAGGTGCTCACAGTGGTGAGAGGTGCTGACATTGGTGAGAGGTGCTGACATTGGTGTGAGGTGCTGACATTGGTGTGACGTGCTGACATTGGTGTGATGTGCTGACATTGGTGTGAGGTGCTGACATTGGTGTGAGGTGCTGACATTGGTGTGAGGTGCTGACATTGGTGTGAGGTGCTGACATTGGTGTGAGGTGCTCACAGCGGTGTGAGGTGCTCACAGCGGTGTGACGTGCTCACAGCGGTGTGACGTGCTCACAGCGGTGTGACGTGCTCACAGCGGTGTGACGTGCTCACAGCTGTGCGAGGTGCTCACAGCGGTGCGAGGTGCTCACATTGGTGTGGGGTGCTCACATTGGTGTGGGGTGCTGACATTGGTGTGAGGTGCTCACAGTGGTGTGAGGTGCTCACAGTGGTGTGAGGTGCTCACAGTGGTGAGAGGTGCTGACATTGGTGAGAGGTGCTGACATTGGTGTGACGTGCTGACATTGGTGTGAGGTGCTGACATTGGTGTGAGGTGCTGACATTGGTGTGAGGTGCTGACATTGGTGTGAGGTGCTGACATTGGTGTGAGGTGCTGACATTGGTGTGAGGTGCTGACATTGGTGTGACGTGCTCACAGCGGTGTGAGGTGCTGACAGCGGTGTGAGGTGCTGACATTGGTGTGAGGTGCTGACATTGGTGTGAGGTGCTGACATTGGTGTGAGGTGCTGACATTGGTGTGAGGTGCTGACATTGGTGTGAGGTGCTGACGGCGGTGTGAGTTGCTGACGGCGGTGTGAGTTGCTGACGGCGGTGTGAGTTGCTGACGGCGGTGTGAGTTGCTGACGGCGGTGTGAGGTGCTCACGGCGGTGTGAGGTGCTCACGGCGGTGTGACGTGCTCACGGCGGTGTGACGTGCTCACGGCGGTGTGACGTGCTCACGGCGGTGTGACGTGCTCACGGCGGTGTGACGTGCTCACGGCGGTGTGACGTGCTCACGGTGGTGTGACGTGCTCACGGTGGTGTGACGTGCTCACAGCGGTGTGAGGTGAATGTATGTGTGTCTTCTTCATCCTTGAAGAGTGTTAAAAAAATCAGCATTAGTTCCAACTATACATGTTTGCCATCTGTGTAATGGACGCTAATTTGTGTATCAGAAAATCTGTCTTTTGAAAGCATTGTAAATAACTTTACCTCATGTATGATAGTTCAAGGTTGTAATGGTTAACATTTCATCTCTTGATATCATATCAGGAAAAAACCATTGTTATAGAAATACATAAGTGCACTGTGTCAGTACAATTAGATTCACTGAGCTATAGAGTCACAAAATTGCATTTACACAGATTTTCCTGCAGCTGGCAATTCAGATTCTTACCTGTGATTTCTGTTCTTCTCATTGCTGTGTTCTAAGAAAGATGACCTCATCATAATCAAATGGTTTTTCCAATTTAATAAAACATTTGGTGATCATAAAGGATGCTATTGTCATTGATCTACTGTCAGCATTCATAAAGATGCACTGATGAGCACTTATCATTGACTTGAGATCAGAAACTTTAGCCTTTCAAAGTTCACTACCCATAGGAAATTCTATAACGAATAAAAAAAAAAAATTCTTCTTTTTCTTTCTCTACTCCTGGAATGCCTCGCAGTGTCAGGGGAGGAAGAGATCTCTGGAACGGGCCCTTCTGTTCGCTTCGTATATAGTTTTTTTTTTCAGTGTCTCTGATATTCCTGCGGTCCATATTATGTGTGGTCAACCTCTGATCAATCATCTTCATTATATATGTGTATATATGTTTGTAAAAAAAAAAAAACTTTTCATAATACATATTGTAGAACTAAATGAGCAGAATTTTGTTTTCAGTGTATCAAAACCCATTCAGTGTGAGAGAAACACGACCACCGGCAGACACATTCAGAAGGAATTTTGGAGGGGCAACCCGACCGTACCGTCGCTCGGACCCCAGACAGCTGATACAGTACACCGACTTGGACGCCCCGGATGATGGTGACATATTTTAATCTGTTTGACAGATGAATGAACATTTGTTGTGGCTTTACACTTGACCGGCGATTGCACAGCATGGAAAAACCTGCCTGGCATAGTTCAGATCACTCAAGTTTGTGTTGAAACGATTTTGGTTTATGCCACAAGGTGTGAACTCATGCGAACAGAGGCTTTCTGTTTTGAATGTGTTCTAGTTTATAGTTAAATAAATATTCTTGCAACTGTTACTAAACTCTTTCCATGCCTGCAGATTTGTAGTAGTAAGGATGACAGACAATAAAGTCACGAGTTTATTACTTCCAGAGGAGCAACACACACTGACTGTGCTGCAGGTTGAAATATGTAGCCAGATTGTTTAGTATGCCGAGAACAAATATAGAGAATTTAAGAACACACACGATGTTGCAGCTAAAATAAAATATCTAACCAGATTGTTTAGAATGCTCAGAGCACATATGGAGAATTTAGCAACACACCATGTGTTGTTTGATACCCACAGACACTAATAAAACTTGGGGCATAGCTTTGGACAGAGAGCTCAACTATTTAAGATGTGTATTCTTTTAAGATGTGCAGGATTTTAAGTGTATGTTATATGTTTTTGTTGTTTGCAAATTTTTTTAACACAGAAACAGTAGTTTAGTATAGGTTAGTGAACATGTTTGACAGTTTTACGTTCTTCGGGTCCCAGGGTTCTATTTCCACGGTGGACATTTTAAAAAAAAATAAAATAAAGTTGTACCATGGTGGTAGATTGGAGCCTTATCACCTAATATACTCAGTTATGACAGTGGGTGTAGCCAGGCTTCCTTGTGGAGACAGCACAAAAGTCTGTTGTGTGAATGTTATGTGGTATTTTAGCTGTATGTTTTATGCTTTTGTTTGTGTCAGAGAGTGTCTACTAGTCGTATGTGGAGGTTTTCTAATGACGGCAAATATATAATTTACCAGAGACATTTTCTTGGAGCTAGTATTTGCCTCTGGAAATTAACTAGTGCCATATAAGTCATGTTTTCGAGACTAAAGTCTTCTTTAGAAAACCAGGGGTGGATTATGGCAAGTAAAATTTACCAGGAAATTACATTTTTTTTGACTTGGTGTGATTTTTAGTATAAAAGACATTCCTCTGGAAATGAAATCCTGTGATTTTAGCACAGGCAATTTTTGGGGAGCCCTTTGCCATATGGCTAGTCATGTCGTTTCAGGTGTGAGGGAGATTATTAGCTATTTCTCAGCCGAAAGTCTTGCAGATCATTAGACAAATGGGGCGGGAAGTAGCAGCTTCCGTCTCGGGGTGTGTGACTTTGTTTATCGGGCAGAATGGCATCGTTTAGTAGAAAGATGCGTTATATAGGTATAAGTGAGTAAAGGACCCTTTTCCATATCTTCAGGCATATAGGGCTAGACCTATATTTTATAGACCAATCTGCACTCTGGGGGGGGGGGGGGGATGTGATCAGCATCATGCCGGCCACCTTTACTTCCTAGGACTCCACCTGGTACCTATTTATAGTTTGGTCGACCTGGGAGCCATGGTCGTTCTTGAAAACAGTCTGACTTCACCAGGACTGTAACCCACGACCTTCTAGATGAGTATCTAGCTGTTACACAGTGCCAGCTTCCAGGTAGATAGGGGCCCAACTCAGAATTGTGAACTAGACATTTGAAGTTGGCTTGTACAATTTGCGATAGTTGCACAGATGGCAGCATGCTCCTGAGGAAGTCAGAAGAGTACAGATAATGTGGTGTATCTTTAGTTTAAATGTTTATGCCCCTCACACACTAACATGGACACTGTCTTCAGAAGACAGAAGGAAAATAGTAACATCAGAAATGAAATGTTCACGTACTATGCTAGGT